TCGATTCTATTCTAATAAAAATCTTCAAACGAAGATAAAGCAATTAACAAATATGGTTCCATTAAAGAGACTGACACTCTTGATGAATTTTAGACATAACAAATTATAAAATTTCAGAAAAGGTTCAGGTACCTATTATGTTGAAAATTGAGATATTTTAATAAGTTATGTCATTATAAAAATGAAATAGAATCGAAAAGAAAAGAATTTTCGACAACATTTTTGTACTTGATGTACTGCACCATATTATGAATAGCGATGATATCGAAATAAATTTGTCATCGATTGAAGTAATGATTCGCCAAATAAAATAATGCGATCCTAATAAAAGAATTTATTAGAAAAATTTGAAGCTTTTCTGGACATGATTCTAGTAAAATTGAACCTACTAGAAAATTTTGAAGTTTCTAAATCTACAGTACGAACACTTAAAGGTATATGCTTATGTGAAATGAAAATGGAAGAAGTAAGTCGTAATATGAAATGTGCAATTCTTTATGTAGTAAATATTGCGAAGACTTGTATAAATATATAAGTTTTATTGTGATTGATATAATCACGAGTCCCTATTTTGTTAGCGTGAAAAANAAATATTGCGAAGACTTGTATAAATATATAAGTTTTATTGTGATTGATATAATCACGAGTCCCTATTTTGTTAGCGTGAAAAACATGAAATTTGATATACTTATAATAAATGTGATTATAGTCAACTTATCTTATATAAATTTAATACTATCTTTGAAGGATTTAATACATTTGAAGTATAATTCAAGTGATATCATGATGAGGGAGTACATACGCGTTGTACTCCTTTGCCTTGACCAAGATTTCGTCCCATTGGTTTTTCCTATCAAGGTTTTTTATAAAACAACTTTTGAAACGTATTCAAAAAATAATATACTATTTTTTCTTCATTAGGGTTTTTTCCATTAGATTTTTCCTAATAAGATTTTAATGAAACATATTCTTTGTTAAGTCTGGGCGTAGTTTGATGTGGGTCAGTTTCGACTTAAACCAAAATCAAATTTATTGGTTTGGACGAATTTTAATTCAAACCAACTCATTCTAACTCTTAAACCAAACAAAACAAAATCGAATTGATTTGATTTGGTTAGTTTAGTTTAGTTGGTTTGGACTTTTAGTCCAAATTAATTTTTTTTAAAAGAAATCGTTTGAGTTTTTGGTCAACTTAGATTACGAGAATTAAAAAGAAGAACTAAATAATTTTATATTACAAGAACTATTGACTAATAAATAAAATTAGGTTAATAGAGGCAGATCAACAGAATACATAAAAATCTTGTTGCTTTTTTGTATTATGTAATCGGACTACCTGAATAGAAAAAAATGCTAAGTATATTATAATAAACTTGTGAAATGAAATTTGCAGTGCTATTACTTACCAACAATATTATAGATTGGACAAAATCGAGATATAGTTACGAGATTAATGTTTATCTTTTAATTATTATTTTTCTTAGACGTGTATATAGCCCTTGGGGTAATATTTTAGACTTAGCCCGTTTATAGTTTACGCATTAGCTACATATCCGCTCAACCCACTTACGTGTTCACCTTTTTTTAATTAAAAAAATAAACTTGTGAGAGAAAATTCTCATTGCTATTACTTAACGACAATATTATAGATTGGACAGAATCGAAATATAGTTACAAGATTAAGGTTTATCTTTTAATTATTATTTTTCTTAAGGGTGTATACAGCCCTTAAGGTAATACGCTAGACTTAGCCCGTTTACAGTTTATGCATTGACTACATATCCACTCAACCAACTTACAGTTTATACATCGACTCGTCTTTGTTGTGCTCGACTCTTGGATCACATCAATATCTCATGTTGTTTTATACAATATTAAAATAACACTGTATTCATGAAAGATATTTTATCAACCTTGATGACTGTAGCAATATGATGATGCAGAAAACAATTCTTTTCGATTTGTTCAAGAGTCTCATGCATATTAGAGTATACCTTTTGAAAGTAAATGCCCTATATGTTAAAGGCATCACTACACAAAGAATATGCTTGGGCAAAAAAACCAAAAAATCAACCAAATTAATCAAACTGAACCAAGTCCGGTTATTCGACACACGTAATTGGTTTGGTTCCTTTTAAACAAAAACATAGTGGGCCACTTCAATCATGAACTGTAAATGGGCTAAGTCTAAGGTATTACCCCAAGGGCTGTGTATACCTTTACTTACTCCTAGTGAACTGTGGGTCGATATTTCAATGGATTTTGCTTTGGGTTTATCTAGGACTAAGAAGGGACGAGATTCGATCTTTGTGGTAGTAGATAAGTTTAATGAGATGAAGCATTTCATTCCGTGTAATAAAAATTGATAATGCCACTCACATTGCCGATTTGTTTCTTTAAGGAGAAAGTGCGTTTACATGGAGTTCCTTAGAGTATCGTGTCAGATAGGGATGTCAAATTTTTGAGTTTTTTTTCGCGGGTTTTGTGGGGGTAAGTTAGGCACAAAATTGTTATTTTTTATAACTTGTCATCCGCGAACCAATGGGCAGACCGAGATAGTAAATAAGATAATGACTAAATTGTTGCGCACTGTGATCAATAAGAATTTGAAAAGTTGGGAGGAGTACTTACCTTTCATATAGTTTGCACATGATAGGGCCATTCAATCCACTACTTCATTTTCATCGTTTGAAATTTTTGATGGTTTTAATCCACTAACCCTATGGATTTAATACCTTTACCTGTGAATGAACGTGATGGCTTAGATGGTAAAAGAAAATCTGAACTCGTTAAGTCACACCATGAAAAGGTCAGGATGCAGATCGAGAACAAGAACAGACTCATTGCATCGCAAGCAAAACAAGGGCAGTAAAAACGTAACCTTCGAACCAAGTGATTGGGTTTGTGTGTATTTCAGAAAGGAGCGCTTTCTAGAGTAGAGAAAGTCGAAGTTGCAATCACAGGAAGATAGACCATTTTAAGTTGTTGAGAAGATCAACGAAAACACCTACTAATTGGATCTCCCAAGTAAGTATAATGTTTCGGTAACTTTTAATGTATCTAATCTCTCTTTGATGCAAGCTCAAATTCGAGGACGAATCATTTTGAAGAGGGAGGGGACGATGTGAATCAAGAGTTGAGCACAATGAAGACGAGCCCAGGACAAGACCTGTTGATTATTGAAGGTGGACCGATGACACGTTTGAAGGTAAAGCGGGTAAATAAAGCAATGGGGCTCTTAGTTCAATCAACAATCGATGAGAAGTTGATTGTAACGAGAAATGAGGCAAATTTCATGTTGGGATTGAAGGGTGAAATCAATTGGAGCAACTTGATTCAAGCCATTAAAGATGGGGCAAAACTGTAATACAATGGACCGCATAGTGTTGGAAACCATGCGGTCGCATGGTGGCTCACTAAAACCAAAAAGGAATCAACAAGTTGTTCCATGCGGCTGTAAAGAAAATGTACCATGCAGTCACATGGTACAAAATTAAGACCAAGATTTTCCTTTTCCGCAAATTTTTTTATTTTGTGAGAATTCTATTTTTTGGCGAAATTCTTGTAATCCTTAATTATTGTTTTTTGTTTTACTAGAATTTAGGACTAGAATAAATATGTTTTCTCTTTATTCCACTGTAAAACTTGTAACATTACTTTGAGAGAAATAAAAAGAGAGGCAATTTATTGCTTTTAATAATTTGTTCTTGGAACAATTTGAAGTTCAAGGCATACATCTTGTGGCGTTCAACCCCGAGTGCGAGTTATGAAATTGTGTAATCAAGAGGTTGTTCAAATCGTTGTATTGGGGGTTGCTTGATTCATATTTCTTGATTCAAATCCATAAACCGGGATTAAATTTGACTTTCTTGGGTTCGACAATCTTTTGAAGGTTTTGTAATCTTCTTTACTACGTGAGTTCACATCAGACATACTTTAGCAAAATTACAATATTGAAGATATTGATGTACAAGGTAATAGTGAATTAATACAAGATTTAAATAAGGGGAATAGTTTAGTCTTTTCCTTTGATCAAGTTTTGTCCCACTTAAAGATTGAAAAAAAATTCGCTCTTACAGGTTGGCGGGGCAGGGGTTGGACGTAAGTTCCCACTCTGTCTTGGGTCTCGAGTCGAGCTGGGCATCCTTGCCCTGAGCCATCCCCGTGAAGGGGAAAAAAATTGTTAGTTTGAATATTATTTTTTTTTGATTTTTAAAAATTTGAATTTGTAGTTTATTCTTTAATTATAGCATAGCTTGAAATTTTGAAAATGTTAAAAAAAAAAAAAGGAGGAGCAATTGTGGAAAGCCTCTGCTCCGTCCCACCTTTGACAAGGCGAGGCTGGGCACTATGCGGCGAGGGGGCGACCCCGCCTCGAACCCGACCCTCTGCCATCCTTAGTTTCACTGGATTTTGTTGACAAGATTTTAACAAGATAGTATTTTATTACTCCAAATTATATTTACTCTTTTGTCATTTGTTCGCATTTTTGTCACATTGGGTCTTTTGCCAAACAATATTTCAATAGTATAGTTATTGTGCAAATAATTATCAGATGATGAGAGTTGTAAAATAATAAGATAATTATTGATGATTATTTAATATTATCATGATACATAAATAAATTTTATCTAATTTAGAGATCTATTTCATTTTAAATGTAACTTTTAATTTTAACAAGATAGTATTTTATTACTCCAAATTATATTTACTCTTTTGTCATTTGTTCGCATTTTTGTCACATTGGGTCTTTTGCCAAACAATATTTCAATAGTATAGTTATTGTGCAAATAATTATCAGATGATGAGAGTTGTAAAATAATAAGATAATTATTGATGATTATTTAATATTATCATGATACATAAATAAATTTTATCTAATTTAGAGATCTATTTCATTTTAAATGTAACTTTTATTTTGAACCCTTGGTTCTTATTCATCTACTCATATTATCTCCTCTTTCTCTCTTTTTTTTCATAATGACGACAACTGATTTTTTTATTTTGGTTCTCCTTGGAGAAATGATAAAAAAATACAACGTAAATTAGACTACACTGGTTCAAAAGCTTGATTTTCAATCTGTCATGACGGTACAATCCAAAAACAATCAAAATTATTCCCAACCTTCTAGATGCTCTCTCTCCGTCGAGCTGCTTTACAGACAACTACTTCACAGAGAGTTACATTTGACTTTCTCGCTCTAATTCCAAATTCCCGCAAAATATGAGTTCCACTTCTCAGTTCCTGCAACTCCATCACCATCACCATTTCCAGATCCACAAACCCATAAAACTTTGCATTAAACCCAACAAGATTTTCACTACTATTGTCCCAAAAGAGCGCTCCTATTTTTCAGGTTTCTTTATTTTAGCATCAATATATTTTATCAAGTTTGGTTTGATGTTTTGATGATTTCTAACTTTAATTTTGTTAAAATTGCAGGTCTGCGTATGTTGGGACCTCCCTATCATCTGGGTTCCGTGCCTACATGTGAGTTTCTGTTGTATTTAAATTAATATTAGTTTGAGATTTGAAAATGTGTTGTTGCTTATCCTGGTAGACAAGTATAATAAAATTTAATGTACATGTTTGGCCTAGCTTAAAAGCGAAAAATGGCTTCATTTTGGTTTTTTTAGCGGTACCAAGAGTGACACAGCCGAAATAAGCCAGCTTCTTTCGTAGAAGAAGCTAGGCCAAACATGCTCTTAATGGAAATTGACGTAGGTTTTCAAGAATTTGTGACTATTTGCTGGTGTTTTATTTTGTTGGCATGTTCTTTAAGCATAAAGACAAGAATAAGAACATCTTACGCTCTTAATAAAAATTAAATATAGGTGGGAATTCAAGATCATTAATCAGCAAATGTTGGGCAGAAAATTTTCTCGAGAAGGACAGTTCATCTAATTATACATCCCAACCGGCGAAGGTATCTTTTGTATTGTTTAATTCTTTTGTTTGCAGAAAATTTTCTTGGAGAAACTCAATGTTAGATTATATAGCGGTCTTAGTTTCACTGATTACAAGTGCCTATATTAAATTGGAATCACTGTTTACATAACTAGTTATGGATGATATGATAACTTAATTGCTTCACTTTCCTTGTAAAAAATATGGGCCTGATAATGGCACTCGAGAAAAGCTGCTTTTTCTATCAATAATTCGGGCATACTTTAGCAATGCATGAGAAATTGTCAACCCCTAAGCGTGATTACATGGATTCTGAACTAATTTCTAAAACCATAATTATAAGTTGCATTTAACAATTAGTCAATTTTTAAGATTTTCTTTTTGGGTGTGAGTTTTCTTTTGCATTGCAACTGAAACTGCTTAGTTTGTTTTGAAAAGTTAATGAGGAGCTTATGCTTTGAAGCTATGCTATCTACATGCCACCTTGCAATGTCAATTATTTAAGGAAAATAGAAACATGATAAACACTAGAGAACATCCAAATGGAGGTAGGAATACCAAGAGTGCTAATCACCTAAGTTGCTTCTGATAGTATACATGGCTTCAAAAAATTTTAAATATATATTAGCTATTTTTCCTGATAAAAGAATCTGAAGCCGAATAAATATTTTGTCCAAATTTATATAACATGGACACTCCTCTTAGGGTGGACTGTTGGTGTCCAACAAGTATTATACATCGACACTCTTTGGACACTGTGAAACATGTCTAACAAGCCACATAAAATGTCCTATTATTATATATATTTTTAATTTTTGAGATGCGAGGAACCCTTCAGCTGACACATCACACGTTGTTTCTTATATTTATAATTTTTCTATTGTTTATATATTTTTAATTTTTAACACAAGAGGGACACCGACATGTCATATGTTGTTTCTTTACTTTTAAATTTTTGGCAAGAGAGGAACATGTCCTGACACTTAACATATGACAAGTCCATTATGTAATTTTTGTATTGTGAAGTTGTGAAAAAGGATTTGTTGTAAAAACATTTGTGGAAAACAAAGTCCAAATAGTGTGAGAAACATTCTAGAAAGTTTGGGTTGTATTTGTTTCATATCTACCATATGCATTTTTTTTCTTTCATGGGCGTTGGCAATAAATAGTAGACACAAAGGTTATTTTAGTAAAACAAAGAGTCACTCCTCTAATTTAAATAGTTTCACTTGCAAAATTGAAAAAGGCCAAAAAAAAAAAAAAA